CAGAGGAGAAACTACTCGGTTCGCGACCGCCGATCACCCAGCCTAACGCGCGATTCGGCTGCAGCGCGCCCACTTCCCACGGCTAGTTCCCCCTTATCAATCCTCGCTTATTTCGATGATTTTTACGTCTATGTTCTGTTCACACCACACTTCATACAGTTGTGCAAGATATGTTTTATGTTTGCATTTGTCACTCACACAGAGATGTATTATAATGAAAGAGAGATCATATAATCAGTGTAGTTCGCCGATGAACGGTGTTTGTTCGCCAGCCCAGGGTTGCAATTCTCCCGATGCGAATTTCCAGAAGATTGCTCCACCTATGGCGTATATTGCTACCGTTGTGTAGAAAATGATGTTCCATTCAGCAACGGTCTTAAATCAAGATATTCATAAGCAAAATTCCTCCCTTTATCTTGTCTCAGCCAAAGAAAAACTTACTCCTGAAGTGACAACGTATCCAACAAGTAGCGGACAGATCATTCCTGGTAGGGTAGCCAAGGTGTTCGACAGTCCCATTAGATGTCCAGCAAACTGAAATTTTCAAATAGTTTGTCGCAGTTTTTTTATAGAAAATCTCACCTGAGGAGCAAGATCCAAGTGATTAACAGAGAATCCAGCCCAACAAATTCCTCCTAATCCTATAGATATTGCGAGGTAAGCAACTAGAAAAGGTGGTGACGACGTGACAGACGCCAGTGCAAGGAAGAGAGCTTGACCAGCGAATCCTAAAGAACCCTTGGTAATCAGGAAATCTCAGAAATTTGTATACAACTCACCTGCCACACAAAATCTTCGTCGTACGGTCAATGTGTCGATGTTACGTTCTTTACGGAGGTAGTCAGCCAACTGTCCTCCCCAAACCAAAGTGCAACCCATCAGCAGATAGGGTAATCCAGCAACAAAACCTGCCTAAATGCGCTCAATCAGCTAGGAATCGTAATGTCTAGAAATTTTTGAGTTTAGAAGATCAGGATCTCACTCTCTAGAATCAAATCTAGCTTCCCGCAACTCATAGTCTTCTTGAAAGCGGATATTTGCATACTCTAGTGGATTTAGAGATTCGCGAATTATTTTACTACCTGAATCACATTTATCTCGCTGAGGTTCAGCACTGGCGATATCATGTTCGAGGTCTTCTATTCTTCTCTAGAACAGCTCGAATGTATAAGTAAAGCAAGCACGGTAAAAATTTAAAAAATGGGGACATGTCCAAGGAGTAGGTCTGTTTTGTCACCCAGATAGGCAGATAAACGCTCCAATAATTTGCCAAAGA